TTGGTGTTGTTTCTTTATTTTCAGAACGGGTTAGTCGAACGATCTTCGCCGGATCGGCGCTCCACGTCCTGACAGGCGCTCAGTACGGGCTTGGCAAAGTCGTAAATTTCTCAAATTCTGCCCTTCATAGGAATCAAAAGATCGTAAAATATGATTAACTATATTCTACCCGAGTATAGTCAACCGTTTTTAGCTTTATATCAATGTGGAGACCGTTAAAAACAGCCGTTCTGGGTGCCCCATATACATGCACCCTGCCGTCATTGCGTGTTTCCTGTGCACTTTTGACGCCGTCGAAACGTGCTGTGTGGCACGCTTACATAGCTCGCTCCTTTTATTGTACAATCGCAGTTTGCAGAAATCGTCAGTTCAATCAAGAAGGTTAAACCTCCTTGGTTCAATCAGCTTGAATTTGAAAAGACAGCTTCAGGCAAGCCGATGATTATTTAAAATTATGTAGATCAACAGATAAGTACTCGCACACAAGTGCGAAGTACAGTGCACTAGCGACACCTTTTGATCTTTTCCCGACATAGAAGGAAAGTCTAGCAAGACTGTTGTGGGCCACTTTGCATTAATTACTAGTATTATTTTTTTGTTCTGGTTAATCACGCATCACAATAACTATTGTCAGCAGTCTCCTCACAAATGTATTATGTTAGCTGTCTATCAGGCTTCTGGAGGCGGCTAGAAGCAGCAGATAGACACTGTCACAGATAACACGCAAAGGGAGATGGTCCAAGCATGGAGTTAGAACCTCCTTGGTCCAAGAGACTCCCAACTCCTCTTGCGTGTTATCTGTCTATTTGGCCAATTTCTTCAATTTCCAAATGCCTCCCAAAGCCTGACTGGTAGAGACTATTGTAATGTGTGACTGAACAGTTTTATTTACAAACTCTTGCCCAAGTGCTAACACAGTATATAAAGAGATATAAATATGCCAAGGCCATAGGGTTGTTGACTTCTTTTGAGGCTGTGGATAAAGAATTGTCCCATGGTAAATGATATTGAAAAATGAAGTAGGTTTTGTGATTTTATTAGGGGGATTCATTGTGGTAACTGTCAAAAGCCTGTTCGATTACTAGTGCATGTATTTGTGGGTACATGTATTAAGCATTGTATCATGCCATCCAAGAGAACGTCCCCCAACCAATTAGCTCAGGCCTAGAAAAAAATGTTTCTTGTCTCCCAAACGACTGTAGAAAAAAAACCCTGCTGACCCTAGCCTTTTTTTTAGCTGATTGACATTTTCTAGTTCCAGGATCTGACACCTGATTGATTGAAAAGATAAGCGTCCTCATGCAAGTTTCACTTTCGTCTTTGTTAAACTATATTGTATCCCTTACGTATAGAATCCGGCAGGCATAGCCGTACCCCTCTGAATAGTGCTGCATACCGGTTCACTGGACTTGGATCTGGACTTGTAAGAATGTTTAGGTTCAAGTCCAAAAAAAACCTAAAAGTCAAGAACCGAGTCCGGACTTGTTACCATAAAAAAACATTTCACTTATGCATACCCTTTTTCTTTCCAAACCACCTAAAACCTTCCATAGATTGCAAAATCTTTGCTGCAAAATGAAGAAAACATTGCCATCGGGCATCGTCAAGTACCGGCTTCCGTGTTAAGTGGCCAAAGTTTCACCCAGACAACATTGCAAGGTTGCCAACATGCAATTTTGTACAGTATATGCCACGGGTTTAGGTCAGGACTTACAAGTCCGGAACTGAACCTAAACCTCTGGACTTGAATCTGGACCTGAACCTAAATTTGGGTTTAGGTATGCAGCACTACCTCTGAAAGATAGAACATGCGAATCCTGTAATATGTTGAAAACGAGATACACTTTCTACTTGACTGTACATTATATAAAGATGAATGCCAAGAGCTATTCCATACTTTACAATTAGACAAGATATGTAAGAAAATGTCAAAGCAGGACATGTTCAAACACTAACTTGATGTCATGCAACAACAATTATACAGTAGACAAACTATGTAATTATGTTTCCAGATGTTTCAAAAATAGAGAAGAAAGGGCAACTAACAGTAGATTATAGGTAGTATATAGTATTGTATAGTATAGTATTGCATTAGAATATAGCTTTCCAGTATGACATACTCATGTTTTGCATACTGCATATCCTCTTGTGCATTTAGCCCATCTGGGCAAGATTTGCGATAAAGATTCATATCATTGTAACAAGTTATAAGTTAGATCACTGGAGATCACCAAAAAAAAGATAAGGAAAAAAATCCCTAGATCTACCTGCCAACCATAGTTTTCAGGACTGAAACAGGAAACATTTTTTTTCTTTCTTTAATATGCTAATATGTTTAATATGTTTTACTAATTAAGTAAACTGTAATCTTATCACCAAATGCAGGTGCTGACATTGACTATGCCGAGGATGACATTGACAGCACTGGATCGGGTCTGTTACTCGCCTCCATCAACGGGGATGTAGAGATGGTGCGACTGCTGATACACATGGGGGCGTCTGTGTCGAAGAAAACCGGCGCTGGTATATCATGTGCCCCGCTTCATGGAGCGGCGGGCAATGGTGAGTGGTGTGGTGTGTTAACTCCCATACTCTTCTCAAGTGTAACAGTGGGGGGGTTTATAGGTGCTACCACCTGACCCGGCCGATGGGTCTAGACCTTTTAGCCAAATAGTTAAAGACTGTCAGCATATGAAGCTGGTGCCCGGGTTCTGTGTCTGGGGTTCAAACCCCAGCCTGGGACCAGGAGTGTCTTTCTGTTTCTACTCTCCTAATTCTTACACAAGTTCTGAGTGCTAAGCAGAGAAAGCAGTAGGTACCATTTTTTAAATCTTTGCAAGGGCATTTGTGTATAATGTCCTTGATCTTTGGTATGACTCAGCCGGGGATCAAACTCACGACCTACCAAATGCAGTGAAGGCGTCAATTAAAACAAATGCCAGTTTGCTAAAAAGATGCCAGTTTAAGCTATAAAGAAGATAGAGCTAAAGATTAAATTGTGAAAGGTCTCTCGGCCAGGCAAGCAAACATGCAAAAACAAGATTTATGACAGTGTATCAGGTGCCTAGTACATGTTTTACTTTATTTGTGTTTATATGTTGCGTAATAGTCATATTTTTCTTTCGTAAATGAAAAGAAACCTACAGTGGGTATCACTGGAAGACAGATGAAAAAAATGCCCAGACTATGCATGATGTACAAAATGACTAAAAGACTGGTGGACATACCAACTACTAAGTACATAATACCAGCCCAGAAAAGGACAAGAAATAGCCATGCCTTCAAGTACCAGAGTTATCAACCAAGGATTGAGGTGTTCAAGAATTCATTCTTCCCTAGAACTTTCACAGAGTGGAACTCACTGTCACCTAGTACAGTAGGGGCATTGTCATTAGATAGCTTTAAACAATTGTTTTCATTTTTTTTTTTATTTACTTCAGAATTCACCTCAAAACAAGGCTCGTGAGAGCCACTTACGTGTTTTGGGTTACAGTGATGACTGCGTGGTCAGATATTTGTTCACCCTTGATTTAAACCGTTGGAGGCTTTTGATTCCCACCACCCTTTGGAACACAAACTAGCAGTGATCAAAACTCTCTTCCATCGTGCAGACAACATTGTCACTTCAGACCAAGCCAAAACGGACGAACAAAGACACCTCCGAGGTGCCCTGGCTAAATGTGGCTACCAAAACTGGACTTTCAACAAAGCGCTCAAGCCTTCAGATCAGTCTAAGAAAACCCAGAAGTGCAAACCATTGACCAACAAAAACAAGGCCAACATCACTATTCCGTATGTCCAAGGAGTATCTGAGAAACTCCGACGGATCTTCCAAAACTTCAACATAGCCACTAACTTCAAACATCACTCAACCCTCAGACAAAGACTGTTACACCCTAAGGACCGACCTCACAAGGGTACCAAGGCGAATGTTATTTACAGACTCAAATGTGAGGAACCCAATTGTAACAACACCTATAGCTACATCGGAGAGACAAGTCGACCGCTTAAAGTAAGGTACAAAGAACATTGCCGACCTAGTGCCAACGGCTACTCCTCAGCTATTTTCCACCACCTACAACACAACCAGGGTCACTCTTTCAAACTCGAGTCCACGGATGTCTTAGACCGCGAAACACGCTGGTGGGAACGGGGTGTCAAAGAGGCAATATATGAAAGAATGTACAACCCCACCTTCAACAGGGAAGGGGGGCTACGGGTCGATCTTTCCGGCACTTGGGATTTGGCACTCCCAGCCCCGAGGACAGACAACACTTAAGCTCCTGTCCTGTATAACAGGAGCTTTCAGACTAATTTGCATCATCTTGTCTTGACTTGTCTGACTTTTGTTCCTTTTTCGACTTCCAA